AAAAGCCGATCTAAAATATACAGGAACCCAGAAACGTGAATCTAAAATTGAAGTAATAATGAAAAACTAACCAGAATCGATGAGAATCTGGGAAGATGAAGAGGTGATGATGAATCGATAAAGGAAGCTTTGGTTTAATCATACAACTTTGGTTTAATCATAAATTAAAAAAACATCAGCCCACTAATATGGTCATCCATCAGCCCACTATGTAAACCCACTATGTAAATCAAAATGAATCCAACATTGATGAATATGTGTCGTATATTGTTTTTTTTAAATAGAGTCTCTAATTAAAAAGAAAAAAACCCGTGCATCGCACGGGTCCATATCTAGTTGTTCCTAAATGAAAATCAAAAGCTTGTTACCATATAGGAATGCATTATGGTACGCGAATTTGAAATTGGGGATGAGATGGAACGGTAAAGGACGGGACGAATATTTTACTCACCTCGTTGAACCAGTTATTGGCACACTAGTACAAATAATAATTGTGTGTCATACACACCAATCAATTTCACTTTGATGCTTAAGTTATAATGAACCTAACAAAACAAAACATTTGGTGTGTTTGATTTCTTCTTTGATCCATTGTCATCTAACTAGTTCTAGATACTTATAGTTGTGGTCTGCCTATTCAATGACCTCTTTCCACCTTGCTAACTTGTTCGAAAAGCACCAAATCTACAGATGAAGAAACCAAATTAGAAGTCAAACCAAAAATCACACAACTTTTCAGCTCTTTGATATGGTATTTGCCCCAATGCTATAACATCTGTAACATTTTTTGGTTATTGTGGCTAACTTGAAAATGGAAAACATTTTAATCGTGTTGGAAGACAACATGTGAGGCTTAAGAAACTTCAAGTGCAGATGATTTAATGATCAGCAATATCCAATGCAAGAACTTACTCTTTCGTATGATCTTGTTTCTAGTAGGATTGTAAACTTTCGATATCAAGGAATTAAGAACAAAGATGTTTTATTCACAAGGATCAAACGTTTACAAGGTTTTGAGAGATTTAACAACGGAGTCTCTCACCTCCCCCTTTACACTTTTGATCAACCACTTGATACCCCATACTCGTAACGGAGTAAGATCATATATAGAACAAGATCACACCTCATGAGGCACACTAGTACACATAATAACATTATGTCATACACACTATTCAATTTCACTTTGGTGCTTGATAAACCTAACAACGTACAAAACAAAATGTCTAAGAGCTAATGTAGAGTGTCGCGAGAAAGACATTGATGTATCCTCTATGATGTCAAAATTTAAGCAAACTCCCGCGAGAATGTACAACAAAAATTTGAGGTATTATGAAATGAAGGGATACAACACAAAACAGCGTTTAAGATTATAAAGATCATTATGTTTACATACATAGAACCAAAGCCTTTTTGACACAAACAAAAGCTAGTTGTCGGAATAAGCATCAGTTTCTTCCCTCCTCATAATCTTGGATAGATGATTCACCACGAAATAGGCTTTCCCAACGCCATACATAGAGTACACTAGGAAACAGCTCTTTCGCTTCGCAGCTTGCAGTAGGAGGTAGCTCTCCCGGTGCGCAGTTATCAGGATCTACTAAGACAAGTTCTCCAATTCTTTAATAACCAAGCGTGTTACCAAGAGAATATTATAAGATGCTAAAACAAACGTGTTCTGGGACCGGACGTGGAGGATTTCCCACTCCCTGAGGGTCTTGATTTAGATATGTTTCGTGGGATTATCAAACAAGCTCTTGGGAAAGAAGGTTTACATATGGTGATGTCTCAATTACGGCTTATGGTGAAGAGAAACCGGACCAAATGGTAAGTCGCTATACGGATACCGGAATCACCTTCGTACCCAAAGGTAAGTATTTAAAACACTCTTTTCATTTTATTTCATTACTTGTATAGTATGTACCCAAATAAATATTGGAGACTTGCTCTCATGTTAGTGGATATTGGTTTGTGGACAATGAGCAATCGTGATACCATTTATAATCCAGCAGTTTTGATGGTAATCTCAAAAGACATTCGTGATGAAAAAACGGAGTTCGTCAATCTTCTTTTAACTTTGAGGGCCATGAGTTTCATTGTTCTCTTAGTATTGATTGCCTCAAGACTTGGCACCAGAACATGGGCCAGTTCCTGATGTAAATGCAGCATGGTTTTGGGAAAGGCTTTTAGATGGAGAACAGACTATGCCATGGCGGGATTTACGCAAGCTAGTAGGTCTAGGAAAGAGAGGTAAAGGCAAGCTCAAGAAAAGAGAGGCAAGCTAATAGCTAGCTCAAGGAAAGAGGGTGTCAAAGTTTCTCCTCGGCCATCTTGACACAAAACAATAATGTTTTATCCCATTCCCATCAATTGAGCCTAACAAAACAAAAAATCTCATATATTTTGAATATCTCTCTTATGGTGGATTTCAATCTCTTAACACTCACAGAAACATGTTCCAAAATTACAGTTAACAATCTTGCATCCCTTAGGACAGTACTTGATGCATTCATTATCTCTACGGCACGATGCATTGGTCTCATAATTGTCCATTATAGGTACTACCGGCGGCAAGCAGTTACAATGTTTCTTTCCTTCTGGACATTTCCCGCCGATGCAATTCACTTCTTCCTTCACCATCTCTCTCGCATCACTCAAAGGCAAACCTTCACAAATACACACCACAAACTTCAATACAAAACCAAAGCATTGAAAAAAATAACAAAAGGAGGACTTATCATAGAAGAAGTAGCATTACAAAATGCTATGATTGTGAGGGAGAACAAGAAGACAAGCTTGAGAGACGTTTTCTCCATTGCTATTTCTTGAAATTAAAACTTGAAACGTTTCTTGTTTAGTTTATCTTCTTTTATAGTACTCAGATTATCTTCTTTTATAGAAGAAAGTTCAAAGGCAAATAAATCTCTCGCATGAAGGTTTTACCAAGTTTAGTTAGATACTACTATTTGATTACATATTGTTTTCGTCTAACTTGAGAGACCTCTCAATTTTAGGAAATCACTTTTATAATTGATTTGTGTTTATAACTGAGATACATTGCTTCAAATAAATATAAGAGAAACTGAGTATTTACAACACAAATGTACAAATAGCTAATGCTTTTGCCAAGAAAGAGAGAAACATTTTCAAATTGAAGACTTTTTTTCTTTAACAAAAGCCAAAGCAAAGAATGAAAGAAACAGCACAAAAGCAACTGCCAAAACTGGTATGCATCTCAAGTTGCTTCCCCTTCTAATTTCCTTGTTCATGCTAAATTTTTCAGTCGTAGAACAGTCCTCCGGTTCAACATCAGTTTCTGGTTCTTCCCTTGTTCTCTTATCCTCCTGTTCAAAGAGAGCAAAGACCACATAAGATTAGTACAAGCGTGGCTCTGACTTTCACATCCCATAATCATCTATATTTTGCTTAGTCCATCATTTTTCTGAAGCAGTAAAGCTTCAACTTGGCAAAGTTTTCCTTACTAAATACAAGAGAACTTGTATTTTATTTTGTTTTTGTGGAGGGAAATAAACCAACAACTTGAGATACATTGCTTCAAATAAATACAAGAGAACTGAGTATTTACAACACAAATGGCTAATGCTTTTGCCAAGAAAGAGACACACATATTCAAATTGGAGATTTTTTTCCTTTTAACAAAACATTGGGAGATGGACCGAGATCGAACAAGACAAGATTAGGGAAATCATGAAGAATCAAGAAAGTTCTACAAGATTGTCAA